GCCAAGTACACTCCATGAAACATGCATACTGAGGACATTGACTATTTATGATAATACTCAGAACAATAGCAGCTATGTAAACATGTGTGGTGCCGGTGTTATGTCTCCGATTTCCTTTCCCACAATGTAAAAATCGTCCACATAGATATCATGATGGCTGCTTCTGTTTAATAATTTTCTTTTAAATCAGTCTTGTCTCTTTTTGTGTGTGGGTTCTTGGGTTCTGGTGCCTCACTGGTTTAGGTTTAGATGACAGATCAACATCATGGCACAAGGATAGTAACCCATAAGTGCTTTGTTCTACTTCTGACTTAAGCCTGTCTGAAGATTGTCTGCACAGTGCACGAACTCCGTAACACCGGTGAGGATCCTGAAATAATTTGGGTAGATTTTTGACTCCAAATTTTTGAGGGTCACCACTGCATGGCTACTCTTTTCGATTTTCAACTACCAAGAGATTTTTTACATGCCAGCAATACACACGGGCGTACGATCTAACTACCCAGAGACCAGGGGAAATTACTAGAAGTCCACATGAAAAATCCCAGCCTTCACCAAGGCTTGAACCCAGGACCTCCAGCACTCGAGGCAGACACCATGCCTCAAGACCATGCGGCCCCCTGGGGTTGGGTAGACCTCCTGTCCCTAAACAAGCATGCTGTAAAAGGTGACTAATTAAGGGGTTGCTGAAATTGGACGTGCTGGGCAGAAAGGGGCAGACATTTCATGCCAGGTGCTTTCTAAAGGTGAATGAGGAAGAAGAAAACAGAAAAAAAAAAAAATAATGTCTGTTGTGGTAACTGTTTCACTCATAAAGAAATTTTGCTTCAGTAAACAGTTAAATAAATAAAAAATAAAATTATCCATTGCTGACATCAAAGAACTTGGGACATGCCTGTGTTTTCTTATCTTCATAAAAGGTGAAAGAATATGGATACTTACAGTTCCACTGGCAAGTTATTTATGCATTCATCTGTTTTGACTCTAATATTATTAAAATAAGCCAATTTTAAATGTATTGCAGTAAGTAATCATTAATTTATGAAACTGGTGGTAATCATTGTTAATTTACTTAAATCATTGCTTGTTTTATGGAGCTGTAGCAACAGAATCATGAGTCTTTCAGTTGTTATTCTGCTCATAAAGCTTCATGATCATTCCATGCCATAATTATGTCATGTATGTAACTCATCTTTTTTGGGGTTTTGGTTTTCTTTTTTTCATTTACGTTTCTCATCGCCCTCTTTGTTCACTTGAAATAAATTTGTTTAATGTTTCCTACATGGACTGCACTGTCTTGCAGGCTGCTGTAGAATTTGCAGGCTGTTTAATCTGGCAATGGTGCTGCCCTCTCTAATTTAATCTTTTGTCTGCATTGATAGGTTTGAGAATTTCCGTTTTATAAATGGCTTTCCAAAAAGCAAAAAAATATGGTTAAATGAAAAAATTCAAAGAAGTTTTAGGGTGTCTTAAATACATCTTTCTTTGCTATATTTCAAGACTTTAGGGAAAAAGAGATAGATACATATAAGAAAAACAGATTTGTCACTGCTTTTCTCTGTTGTTAACTTTGAAAAGGTAGATGTTCAGAAGGGTGCTGAATAATGTCTTCTCCTACAACATGGTGGTAGCCCAGTAAGTTTTGGGAACCTGTGTGAGATATCTGGCTAGCTTCCTGTACCAGTGCCAGATGTAAGGAAAAAAGATTTGTAAGCTTCTGATAGAAGTAGTTTATGTTTAAACAGAATTAAACATCTTATCAATTGAATTTACTATACACAAACTATTATTAGGAATCTTCATGGGGGGGGGGGGGAGTTTGAGGCTGGTATCTAGGATTTCTCTTCTTCTTGTTGTTCTACTTGTAAGTAAAGACTGTGGGGGCATCATTGTCACAGTTTGTATCAAGTGAATTCATTTATACAAGCTCGACTGCAGGCACCCCTATTTTCATCACTTTTAAAACATCTTATGATGGTTAGCTTTTGATATGACTTTGTTTACATGTGTGACAATGAAGGATGCTATATTTAGTGCTTTTTGTGTGTGTGTGTTTGTTGTTGATATTCTAATATTGATTTAATTGGTATCTGTAGCTTAGGCGCTGTAAACACGTTTTGTATTTCTAAGGTGCTGGATCTGCTGCCAGCTGCAGGCTATTTGGCAGCAGACTGCCTTGTGTTGGTTTCGATAGTGGTATCAAGAGCTGACCTTTCAGAAGGCAGTGGCATACTACTGAACATAAATTTGCCTAGTAAATCTACAAACAACCAGATGTAGCTGGGATTGGTTCTGCAACCTTATATAATTGATACACAGCTTACTTTAAACTTTAGTATCAACTCTCTCTCCCTCTCTTCCCCCCCCCCCTCCCCCCCCCCCTCTCTCTCTCTCTCTTTCTCTCTCTCTCTCTTTAAAAAAAAATTAAATATGACTCTTACAGAGTATGGGATCTGTGGCATACTCTTTTTCTTCTTTTGTGTTCATCCGAAGATGTAAATGTTTACCACACGGCTGCGATATTTGCACCTTTTGGCCAACACATCTTAACCTTTGCAGGCATTTGAACTTGTAGGTCTTATTTAATTGAGAACCACTGGTGTATTTGATTCATTCAGTATTTGTTTAAAAGTTAAATGCAGCATTTGTTTCAGATTTTTTCATGGTTATTGTTATTGTTTACACCTTAGCCTCAGTTCCTGGATCATGTCCTTATTATTTGTATCAGGAGCAAAGTTCATTATATTGCAGCAGCTTCTAAATTAATTGTGACCTTTCAACCTGAACTCCCAGGGACATCTTGAAGTACCCAGTAGTTGTAATAATACATAAGGTTATTTAGTAAGTAGAGAGGAACAGGGATGTAGTGGCTGATTGCTGATACTTCAGAATATTTATGCTGAATTTATTCTCGTTGGTAAGATTAGTGGGTCTAGAGACAGTGAAGGTACAGACAAGAAATGTTCTGACTTTCTGGTTTACAAACAGGTAGGCATTCTTTAGGTATTTTTGGGCCTTAATTCGTTTTCAAAAAGGTGTTTAAACCCAAAAGGATTGACTCCATTGAACCAGGATTGTATCCCTTGTGGCTTTTCAACAGATTTATTCTTTTTTTTTCTTTCTGATGAGAATAGCTCTGGGGTTGACCCAGCTTCATTGAAATGAATATTTTTTTTCAAAAGGACCCTTTTCCACCCATTTTGGGCATACAGTAATAAACCAGTATTTTGTAGACTATTCAGCACTCAGTGGGTGATGTGGCCAATATCATGACTACCGCTTAAACTTCCCAGGACTTTATCTTGTAACCGTTTAAGGCTGGGTCGACCTGGGAGCCAAAGTCATTTTTAAAGTTCAGCTGCGTTCACGGTTGTAAGTGAGTACCAGGCAATTTTTAAAATTGTCTGGGAATTATCTGGGAAGGAAAGATGATAAGGAAAGGAATAAGCTATCCCTGCTTTGTATGTTTGGAGCCGAAGTGGCATAGTAGCTAGATGCTTGTTTACTGACCCAGCAGTTTTACGTTTGACTGTGTATGTGAGGCAGTTATTTTCCCTCTATTAACCTTGGCTCACAGGTCAGCCTAGCTTAAAATGAGTACCAATTAATGTCCTAGGAAATAAAGGACTCCAGGGTGAATGTTGACTACATCACACCCAGATTGCCGATTAGTCAGTGAAAATAGAGTCTAGCATCATATTCTTAATATGAGACTGATATCTTCTTCTTCTTTTTCACTTTCACCAGCTGTAAACTCTGTCGGAAAGTTCCGGTTGTTCATCCACTTTTGGACTGCAGTCCTGTTCCAGAACCTGGGTGTTGCCTGTGCATCCATTTGACAGATCTGACTCATTTGTATACAGACTGCTGGTTCCTTGCCTCTCAGGCAGATGCACTCTGACTTTAAAGGAAGCTCCCAATTAGTCGACTCTTATGACATGCTTTTGGGTAGGCAGTGGGTCTATTCTTGTTTTCCCTATAACAGGGCCCAGGAACCCACATGGGGAAGACTGGTATAAAATGTGTACCTTATGTATTGTAAAAGGCAATTTTTTTTTTTACATTGTCTCAGGGGCAACATTTCTACCACTGTAGCAGTTTGTCTCAGGGGCAACATTTCTACCACTGTAGCAGTTTGTCTCAGGGGCAACATTTCTACCACTGTAGCAGTTTGTCTCAGGGGCAACATTTCTACCACTGTAGCAGTTTGTCTCAGGGGCAACATTTCTACCACTGTAGCAGATTATCTCAGGGGCAACATTTCTACCACTGTAGCAGTTTGTCTCAGGGGCAACATTTCTACCACTGTAGCAGTTTGTCTCAGGGGCAACATTTCTACCACTGTAGCAGTTTGTCTCAGGGGCAACATTTCTACCACTGTAGCAGTTTCTCAGGGGCAACATTTCTACCACTGTAGCAGTTTGTCTCAGGGGCAACATTTCTACCACTGTAGCAGTTTGTCTCAGGGGCAACATTTCTACCACTGTAGCAGTTTGTCTCAGGGGCAACATTTCTACCACTGTAGCAGTTTGTCTCAGGGGCAACATTTCTACCACTGTAGCAATTTGTCTCAGGGGCAACATTTCTACCACTGTAGCAGTTTGTCTCAGGGGCAACATTTCTACCACTGTAGCAGTATATTCTTTGGGGCTAACTTTTATCTTTTATGTGCTTGTGATGGTAATTGTATGTATTTATTCCGTGCCAGTAATTGTGTGTATTTAATTATTTTGACAGTAATTGTTTGTACCTAATTTTTTTGTGACAGTAATTCTTTATGTTTTTGACTGTTCTGTGACAGTAATTATATGTATCTAATTGTTTTCTGACAGTAATTCTGTGTTTTTACTGTGTGACAGTAATTGTATTTCTCTTTGCTGTCTTCCACAGAGAGCTGTAATTTATTCATGAGTTGTGTAAGGAAGATCCAGACCTGAAATAACCTGTGAAACTGCTAGCCTTCACCGGGCAATAGTCTGCTGTCCAGGAAGGAGATTACCATGCTCCGTTTACAGGCTCGGGTGGGCAGCCTGCACAATGTTGGCAGTGCCACCATGGCACGGGCCACAAAAGCCACCTCTTTTTATGGGGGCAGCTTGTGTCGCACGCTGCCAGATGTGAGGTTGTCATCTACTCAAGTCCAGGAGAGGCCAGGGATTGTTCCTATAAAAAAGTTAATGGTTGCAAACAGGGGTAAGTCACAGGATTGCATGGAGTTTGTTGTGTAAGAGTTGTGAAGTGATAGTTGGTAATCGTATATTGAAATGATCTTCTTTCTTTTTTCCCAGTTACCTCAGCAAAGTGAGGGCTCTTTGTGTGCTTTTTCTAATATGCAGTGTAATATAGTCTTTCTTGATGTCGTCGCTCCATCTTTTGCATAATCTTGCACTTGCTCTATGTGGAAGTTGGTACAGGGTCCAGCCATATCATCTGTTGCTCTTTATTTAACATTATGCCTGGTTTCAGTTCTTATAATTCTTGGCGTTCGCCAGCTGTAAACTGTGGCGGGATGTTCTGGTTGTTCGTCTACTTCTGGACTTTAGTCTTGTTCTAAAACTTGAGTTTTGTTGCACATCTGGCTTATTTGTGTGCAGACTGTTGGTTCCTCACCTGTTAGGTAGATATACTCTGACTTTAAAAAAAACACCCATAAATAGTTGCGTCTTACTACATTCTTGTCCTCCCATTCTACAGCTTCATCGGTCATTATATGTAGTTCATTCCTACTTGTATCCATATCCTCATCAAAAGCCTGGCTGACTGGTTTTGGTGAGTCTCCAAATGCTGCGATCTCCAACAGCGTGTATCAGTTTTTGTACTGATACTTTTCTATGTCATGACATAGGGTTGACAAAAGTCTTCTCTTTTGTCTTCCTCTGTCTCCTTTCCATAAATCTTTCCAGTTGTCTCAACATGTCGAGAAAATATTCTCACAAATTGCCTTAACATTACGACTGCCTGTTTTTTTTTTCATATTTGTGAGAAATTATTTTTGTACTTCAGCCTTTTTCAAATCATTAGATTGCAAATATATATATATATGAGAAATTGTAAACAGTGTTCTCCAGAATCACATTTGTGGGCCTAAATGAATTTATTTTTGTTGCTTACTAGTCATTACAGAGTTAACAATGGGGGGCATCCATAGCCAAGTAGTTAAGCATTTGCCTTATGCTCTGAAGGTCATGGGTTCATCTCACGGATGTGTTGTTCGGTTCATGAGTGCAAATTTTATGGAGACCCCTGAGTAGCTATGGAGTTTGTGATCTATGTGACGCTTTCATCAGGCGGCTTGCCATTAGGTGGGGGGGGGGGGGGGGGGGGGGGGGGGGTGGGGTAGGGAGCTGTATGGGTTAAAACCTGCTGCAGTGAAGTCAATCTTCTCAACGTTAACTTTAACAAAGTTTAGTGCATTCAGAAAACAAATGCCTAAGGAAACGAATGAATAATATTATATGGCTGCAAGAAAAGGAAGAAATGAGAGAAGTGTCTTAATAATCGCTTATATCATCAGTTTTAAAGCAAACAGATGGCAATATACTGGGCACATCATGAGGGGGTAGAAACAGAGACTCACTAACCATGTAGTGAATGAGAATGGAATCATTAGGGTTGTCCGCAAATCAAATAAGTATAAATATTGTTTGTCTGAAAAATGCTCATGTTAAATTCAGGTGAGTTATTTCATGTTAAAAAAAAAGCAGTCATATAGTTTCACCATTGTTGTTGTGGTTCTTAATTCGTTGAATAAACTCTTTTACTTGTCTCGAACATATTTCACGGGATGGAATGGAATGGAGGAATAGACAATGAGTCTTATATGATTTATAAATGACAAAATAGAATAAAGTTGTTGATCATCTGTGTAGTTTCCTCACATATTTATTTTCAACCTAATAAATTTTTAGTTACTTCACATATTTTTTGACCCACAGGTGAAATTGCCATCCGTGTGTTCCGAGCATGCACAGAGATGAACATAGAGACTGTGGCCATATACTCAGAGCAAGATGTCAACCAGATGCACAGACAAAAGGCAGATGAGTCCTATTTGATTGGAAAAGGTTTACCTCCAGTTGCTGCTTACTTAAATATTTCTGAGATCATCCATATAGCACAGGTCAGTGTCCATTACATCATATTCTGTCTAGAACTTTGTTTGTTTTATGATCCAAGAACATTGTTGTGTGATTTGTGCTAGTGTCTGAGTAAAAGTAAAGAATCCTTTCATGCCATTTGGGCATAGGCCTGGTGGAGGAATAGTAATCTTAAATCTTATTTTAATGGCAGGGCCAACCAGGCAGCTGGTCTACGAGGGAAGCTGCAGCAGAGCGGCAGAAAGAGCACTACTCTTCTGATCTGGCAGCTTCTGCAGCATGCATTTTTTCAAACATATTGATGATACCTTTTCTTTAAAATAAACAAGTCAAGTCTAGTCAGAGATCATTCTGCATAGGCAACACATGTTCTCTACAAAACTTGCCCAAGCTTTGTACTATGGAGAGAAGGAGCTTCTGCACTGGCCATAATTTGGTTCTGATTCCTATGCCTGTATACAATACATTATAACACTATCATCTAAAAATACAAAGGTGTCAGTAAAAGTATGATGAATGGTCCCTGAGTGTCTGAAGTGGAGAGAGATAGTGCCGCCCCACAGGACACTGTAAATGGTGCTATGCCTTGAGGGTAGCAGAAGGCCCTTTAGCGATCCTGAAAAGAATCTAGCTGAAAAGCTTACATTTGTAAAAGACTGCTGTTTGTCTCCGAGCTTATGCTATAAGGCATTTTCTAAAAAACTGAGTTGGGTTTCTGTTGTTTTTTGGCATGTTGACAGACAGTGTCGGTTGCAATCTTTAGCAAAAGCTTCCCAGCTACTGATTGAGTACATGGGCATAACACTGTGCCTTATACTTTTAATGCATGTAAATGCTAGTAGACATGCTGAGACTGCAGTCTGTATCAATTTTACCACAAGAGTACAGTGGCGGACATTCTGTGTGTTTTTCGTTGGCATAGGAGCGGAGCAGCTATGGGGTGACACGTTTGCTTTGAAGCTGAAACTTAGATTACAAGAAATATCTGCAGAAGTTAGTAGACTTTGAATATGAAGCAACGACTGAGAAAACGGAATGGCCATGGTAAAGCTGTTCAGCTAAGTTTACTGAGGAGCCAAAATGTTGAAAATGCAGATTGTCTTGGGCCAGAGACTTTAGCCTCATCATAGAAAAATTATTAATGCAATACAGTTGTCAGTAATCCACAGGCCATTTGCTAGGCCTCTATGGGCTGGATTTGATCCGCGAGCCACCAGCTGAATAACCTTGACCTGTGGCTATAAATGAGAAGAGTAAACGGTCTCAGTTGTTCAGAAAGGATATTGTGAACATTACTGTAAAGGAAATCAGCAATGCCACTTGAAATAAAGAACACGTTATCATCTAAGTGTGTGAGTGTAAACATGACCCGGACATGCTGAACAGTATTGTATGTCACACGAACAGAGATAAGAGATAACTCTTTCAGTGACAAGGTGATTGTCTGTTGGGTCTTGCCTTTTCTTTTGTGTAAATGTATACAATACAGGTCATCTCCTAAAATGTACTGTGTACCTTTTCTTATGTTGTTTTTCATTTTTCTAAACATGTAACACACCATTACACAAGTCAGCTGTCTGTCTGTTTGTAACACAATGGTTATTACTTGCACTGCTGAACCGTTTTGGTCCCAGAAGGGTTTGTCTGCTGTTCAAGGGAGGCAGATATAATCAGCAAGTCCTTTGCAGGCTGTGACTGTCATCAAGGCACTCCTGAAAGTCTGTTTCTCTAGCCAGTTCTCCAGCCCTATGTACTTTCAGAGCTGAGGAATCTTCATTGTCCTGTATCCCCTTTCACAGAGGTCTGCCTCTGCATCGTTTCTGCAAACTGTACCCGCCATCGCCATTCTCTCCAGACCACCAAGACATTTAAACATAGCAAAAATATCCTATCTTTTGGGGTAGTATTCTGTTTATGAGCTAGTTCTCCTCGATGCTGAGATCAAGTAGGATGTCGGTATATATAACAACACTAAAACTGTAGATGTTCTTGTTCCGCAAGGTCAAAATACACATTCCTTGCAGGAAACAAGTATATTGTCACAGTTCTTTGGAGTCCCTGACTAAACATAAGATATAACAACATATGTAAGACTTTGATGACATGCATGGTAAATATAACAACACTAAAACTGTATATGGTCTTATTCCACAAGGTCAAAATACACATTCATTGCAGGAAACAAGTATATTTTCACAGTTCTTTAGAGTCTCTGACTAAACATAAAATATAACAACATATATATGACTTTGATTGACATTCATGGATAATATCTAGTTATACAGGATGTATTCCTTGGGCCAGAAAGAGGTAAAATGATTAATAACAGATGTAACAGTTTTTAGATCAAATGGAATTTTGAATGACGATAATGTATTATTTGTTTGGAGACAAAAAAAAGAATCAACAGAACAGCGCTCAAGGCATTCCCATAAACACGCTTTCTCCATCTCAAGCAGCCGGTACAGAGTTCCAGTGTCAGTGGTGCCAGCTGCACCATCTTATTATATGTTTGCCCTGCCTTTCCACACATTGAATGTGCACTTTGCATCCATGACATTACTTGTCATTGTTTTCTTGTCACATGTACCAAATTCTGTCATTATTTTGTGAGAGCAGATGTAGCTTGATGCCTGTTCAAAATCAATAAAGATGTGAATGATTTTTTTTTTTTTTTTTTTTTTAGAATTAGTAAAAATAAGAAAATTATTTATGGTGGAATATCAGATAAATGGTATTTGCAGTCCTCTTCATGACGGAAAAAACTATAGATAACCTTGAGATGTTTTGAAATATTTGTTGTTCTTGTCATTTTAGGAAAATGGAGTGGATGCTATTCACCCAGGCTATGGATTCTTGTCTGAAAGAGCCGACTTTGCAAAAGCTTGCATTGACGCAGGAATTCGATTTATTGGGCCGTCTCCAGAAGTGGTGCATAAGATGGGTGACAAAGTCGAGGCGCGACTGGCAGCCATCAGTGCTGGTGGGTAGTGTTTGGTTTATAAAGTCCCAGACTTTGAAGTCTGATTTATGTAAATTTATTCATATATCTTTTTAAGAAATGCTTGGCAGCACAGTTAGCACAGTGGCTAGAACACCTTCTTTCCATTCCATCTAACTTAGATTCTTCTCCTCCTCCTCCTTGATGTTCATAGGCTGAAACTCTGGTGGAAAATTTTTGTTGTTTGTCCACTTCTGGACTTTAGTCTTGTTCTAGAACTTGAATTTTGCATGCTCATCATAAAAGGTCTGGCTTATTTGTATGCAGACTGTTGTGTGCTCAACTCTCAGGCACATGCACTCCTGAGTTAGCAGGAAGCAGCCCTCATTAGTCTACTGTTACAACATGCTTGTTGGGGGAAGGGGAGGCGGATATTTTCTTTTTTTCCTCCTGCACAATGGGACCCTGGAATACACACTGAGATATCCTAGATTCTTCTTCTTCTTCTTTGCGTTCACCAGCTGTACACTCTGGCGGAAAGTTCTGGTTGCTCGTCCATTACTGAACTGCAATCCTGCTCCAGAACCTGAGTATTGCATGTGCATCAGTTTTACAGATCTCATTCTCTTGAGTACAGACTGTTGGTTCCTTGCCTCTTCCGGCAGATGCACTCCGACTTCAGAGGAAGCTCCCCAATTAGTCGACTCTTACGACATGTTTTTTAGGGAGGCAGTAGGTCTATTCTTGTTTTCCCCACAATGGGGCCCCGGAACCCACACAGGGGTATCCTAGATTCATATCTCCATAACACATTTTGTAAAAGATGTCAGATCAGCTCAGCCTAAAGGTGGGTATTGGGACAGGCTCTGGGAAGTAAAGGTGACTAATGTGATATTAACATCACATCACATCAGCTATTTAATGTCACCTGCTTTTTAAAAATCTGGAATTAGCACCAGATTTGTTTTAACGTATCCAGAAACCATGAGTTGTAAACCCTTTGGCTCGGTACTATACCCAATATGACTTCTTCTTTATCTTCATGTTTTTCTGCCCTTTATTCCCCAGTGGAACAAAGACCCTCAGGCAAAGTCGTCATATACTTCATTATTGCATGCAGCGCAACCCTTGACCTCCCCATCTATTTAACTTCACTTTTTGTCTCCCTTCTTCATATGCTTTTTTGTTTGTCTTTATTTCTATTCTCCTGTGGGTTTCATTACAAAGATATTCTAGTTAGTTATACTGTTGTGAGGTGTGTTCTGTATGGCACCAGCGTCTTTTCTTCACCCAGTACAACTCAGAGATTGGAAATAGGTCCTTTACATTTACTTTTTAGTAATACTTTATCTCCAGCTGTTTATTTCTTGGAAAAGTTACAGTATCTTTATTAATATATTCTGAATGAAACATGCAAAAGTACATTTAAGACATTATTATAATGTGGGATATACTAAACTCACATAGTAGAATATGCTAGGGGTGGAAGGTCATAATTATCAAGAGATTTACTGACTAGCATGGGTGATATACTAAACTCACATAGTAGAATATGCTAGGGGTGGAAGGTCATATAATTATCTAGAGCCTAACTGACTAGCATAGGTGATATACTAAACTCACATTGTAGAATATGCTAGGGGTGGAAGGTCATAATTATCTAGAGCCTAACTGACTAGCATGGGTGATAAACTAAACTCACATAGTAGAATATGCTAGGGGTGGAAGGTCAAGAGCCTTACTGACTAGCATGGGTGATCATGCTTCTCCACATCTGGCAGTCTCCAACAGTATGTACGTGACTATGTACTGACACCTGTCCATGCTATGACAAAAAAGCTGTCAAGGATATTCTCTTGTTGTTTTCCTCCGTCTCTCTGTCCGTTAATATGTCCTGTTGTCACATGTTAGTTTTTCTGTCCTGTGTATTTATTATTAGTGTTATTATTAATAAATTATTATTATAGTGTTATTATTAATCAAGGCCTTAGAGATGTGATTTAACAGAATAATCCTTAGAATTCCATGGATCACCAACAAGAGCAACCCAGATGTTTTGAAAACGGTGAGGGCTCGAAGACAACTAATCACAGACATCAAAAAGAAACAGTCGGTTGTTTTTTTTGGGGTCATGTTAAGGGAAGAAGGAAACTGGAACATGTTGTGACCACTGATAAGATCTGTGAAAAGAGAGAGAGAGAGAGAGGAGAGAGAGAGGAAGACAATGTAAGCAGATTCTTAAGTCTTTTGACATGGCATGGAGAGGTGTCAGCACACAACATGATACATGCTGCTAAAGATCTTAGATTTTGGAGAGGCATGATCACCCATGCTAGTTGGCAAGGCACTTGATAATTATGTTTATTATTAATATAAACCCTCTCTAACTCAAAGATTATTAAAGTTAAGTGTATGACATTTGGGACAGTCTGTAACAACTAGCTAGGACAGGGCTATTCAACTGGAGGCCCGTGGACCAAGTCTGGCCCATGGAGGCCTAGCTAAAGGCTCATGAATCATTTATCAGTTGTGCTAATGATCTTTCTAAGTTAAGGCTGGGACCTTTGGCCTGTAACAGTCCCAATTTTCAAACTTTTGGCTCTTGAATAAACTTAGTTGATAACCCTGACCTAGGACCTAGAGGATTAAGAAACATTAAATCACTGTCTGGTAAGTGTTAAGAGGCATGTTTACAAAGGTTACATTTTTTTTTAAATATTGTCATTTCTAGGCGTACAAGTTGTTCCTGGCTCACCAGGACCTGTAGAATCAGCAGACGCTGCCATTGAGTTCTGCAAACAGCATGGCTTGCCGGTGATCTTCAAAGCAGCATATGGTGGGGGCGGTAGAGGCATGAGAGTGGTCAAAGATATCAATGTAAGATTTTCTTGTCTGTTAGTTTGATGCTGCCATTTTCAACTTTCATAGGCTGTGACCATTTTGATGTGTCTACATGGTTTTGTCATTCTTTGAATTTTCGTATACCGTTACAGTTCCATCTTTAAAATACACTGATGCCAAAGAAAACAAAGGCTATCAACAAAATGTTAATCACATCACTCATTAAGCAGCAGTCAGTCTATAGTGGTTATAACAAGGGTATTTAATCAAACTAAATGAAACAATCAAACAACAGTTACCTAGCCCAAATACTGGCCTTTAAAAAGAGAAACACTTGCAATATTGGCCACAAATACTGGCCTGCCATACTTTTAAGGTTAATATCATTTTAAGTGTAAAATAAAGTTATTCTGTTATTCTGAAAGAAAAGAGTTCCTGAATGTACATGCCTTACTGGGCCCCATAAAGGAAGCAAAGAATAGTAACACTGTCATGTATCATGCCTGTCATATGAGGCAACTAAGGAGGGTGGGCATGAGATTGCAAGCCTCATTCTGTGCACATCTTTAGCTGAAAATCTGTTGACTCATGAAACAGTGTACAAAGGATTTAGTGGAAGTTGTTTGAGGGCCTTTCTGTGTGGGTTCCATGTCCTCGGTGTGAGAGGAGAAAAGAATAGACCCACTGCCCCTACCTAACAAGCATGTCGTAAAAATCTAATTATCAGGGGTTGTTTCCTTTGAAGTCATAGTGCATCTGCATGACAGGCAAGGAACCAGCAGTCATCATACAAATTAGCTAGATCTGTAAGATGGGTGGGCATGAACACTCAGGTTCTTGAACAGGATCAAAGTTCATAAGTGAAACAACAACCAGAACTTTCTGCTTGAGTTTAAAGGTAGTAAACACTAAGAAAAAGAAGTTTGAGGGCCTGTTCTCAATTTAGAGTTGATAGGCAGAAGAAGAGGACAGTTTAAAAAAAAAAAAAACATAATTATAATTTTCTTGCTGAAGAGGGAAAAAAAAAGAAAAGTAAATAAATAAAAAAATCGAGGCATGAGTGTGCTTGTTTTCTAGTTTCTGACTTTGCTGTCTTTCTTTGTATCAGGATATTACAGAGAACTTTAACAGAGCTTACTCAGAAGCCTTGTCAGCATTTGGAAACGGGGCCTTGTTCTTGGAAAAGTTCATTGAAAGACCCCGCCACATAGAAGTACAAATTCTAGGTGATGACACTTTTTTTTTTTTAAACCTTTAGCTAAATTTCAATGATTATTCTGCATTTAATTGTTAAATAACTAACTTAAGCTAAGGACATCAGCTAAGGACATCTGCTAAGGTCAATTACAGATGGTTAAAAGATGTCAGACTTGACTTTTACTTAAGTAAAAAAGATGTATTCAAGCAAGACATGAATGATACAGGTGTTGAGATGGTAAGGTTGACTCAGTCAACAAATGCCTGCAGATGTCGGATGTGTCCGCTGAAAGGTGCAAATAACACAGCCAAGCTTTAAACAGGCGCACACAACGCAGTGACATCTTCAGATGACAGCAGCAGAAGAAGAAAAGGGAATTGTGGGGACAGAATGCCATGGACAATTTTGCACAGAGGCAGAAAATCAGAAAGGAGATGGATGGATAAACAATAAAATGATTGCAGATAGTTTAAAAACTGAGCATCTGAGAAGCATATTAAATACATGTGATGGCAACTGTTATCCTGAAATCTACTATTATCCTGAAATCTACTATTATTCTAAAATCTACTTTTATCCTGAAATCTACTATTATCCTGAAATCTACTGTTATCCTGAAATCTACTGAAATTTATTGCCTGGTATATTTCGCTATATCTCGTCAGCTGCATACTACAGTAACAATTACATAAATGAAGCAAATAAGTGAATCTTTTATAACTGAAGCACAATTTTAACAACGATCTTACACGACTGCCTGTTTTTACCAGGGCAGCCGTAAAGACAGAACCATCTCTTTCTGAATACAGAGTTCCGGGCGCAGGTGGCGAATCGCGGAAGCTTCGAGAAATCTTAGCGTTTTGCCATTGGTGACGTATAAGGATTTGAAATGATTTGTCTTCAGTCGCCACGTGTCCAGATTTTAGAAGATGGCGAGCTATTGCAGAGGGGTGATCTTTGCGGCCAGTATTCTCATTTTGAATATTATTTTGCATGGCTTTTTTTTTCACCCATACTTGAATGTGCTCAGCGACTCGTTTCTTCAGGCGTCGATCCGTTCTGCCCACATAAACAGCTGCGCAGCTGCATTTAAATTGGTAGATACAATTTGATTTGGCGTACGTCGACACTGGTTGATTCACTTAGGGCATTGGCAGGGGAATAGTTTCAAACCTGATAATAGGCAAAGCGACGTAGAAAGTTTGGCTGACTGCTGTTTTGAGCCGGTCGTATAGCCGTTTCATAACGTCATTTCCTTGATAGGTTAGATGTATGTAGACTTGTTGTTTGGGGGCTGACATTTCTGTAGTTAGTTGGTTGAGGATTTGAAGAACAAGTCGAGTTTGATCGGTGTATGAATTGTACTTCAGTTATAAAGGTATCACTTATTTGCTTCATTTATGTAATTGTTACTGTAGTATGCACCTGATGAGATACAGCAAAATATGCCAGGCAATAAATTGTGCAATCTCTTGTTTGTGTCTTCTTTGTTCAAATTTTCAACTGGAAACATTGCTTTGAAACATGACGGTAGTGCAGGATTTCAGTGTTTTCAGTGGCGAGAAACATAAATCAAATGTAACCAGAATTGTACATGTAGAATCAGACATGACAAGACTCGTGTTGAATAATTATTTGTTGTGTGATTTGTACTTTTGTTATTGCTGGTACCTGGCGAAGCCAGTGAGAATTTAACTCTTGTCTCGAGGAGGCCATTTTTCCAGCTTTTATGGGATTTGGTTGACACAGTTTTTGTACATTGCCCTTTATCCCCGTATGACAACTTTGGTACTTGCTGCAACTGCATAGTAAGTAGAAATCATGTATGTGATCATATTTAACCACCCCCCCCCCCTCCCCCAAGAACAAGCCAGAAATTGAAATGAACAGTTTTGTATTCTATTTAATGAATCATCATCATCATCAGTTCTCGTTATGCCTAGTGGCACATGAGGCTTCAGAGAGGACTTTCCATGCTTTCCTGTCCTGTGCAGTCTTCAATGCAGTTTTTCATGTCAAAGATGCCGCACTCAGGTCACTTTCCATCGTTCGTCTCCATGTTGTTTTTGGGTGCCCCTGTTTTATCTTTCCCTCTGGTGTCCATGTGAGAACTGTTTTGGCAGGTATATCAGAAGTCATTCTCATAATGTGGCCAAGCCATTTCCATCTTCTCTTGGTAATCATACTATCTAAAGTTTAGTGTTTGAGATTGTATCTGGCCAGAAAATCTTTATAATTCTACGTAGACATGTGTGGTGGAAGGTGGACAGCTTGTGTGCATCCTTTTTGATCATTCTCCAGCATTCCGCTCCATAGAGAAGAATTGGCAAAATGATGCTCTTGTAGAGTCAGAGTTTCGTTCCTCTGCAGTAATTGTTGGATTTCCAGATTTGCCTCATCCTTCCAAAAGCAGCTCTAGCTTTGTTCAGACGAGACTGTATGTCTTCCTCTGTCAGTAGAGACACCACACTGCCAAGATACGTGAAATGTTCTACATTTTTAAGTGATTGGTTACTTATGGTCACTGGTTGTTGGTTTGGACTGTTTGTCATGATCTTAGTTTTCTTTGTATTTATTCTCAGTCCCACCATTTCTGCTGTGCAGTTTAGTCTGTTACTTTTCTCTTGTATATGTTCATGTTTATGTGATAGGAGTGCTATATCATCTGCAAAATCAAGGTCCTCAAGCATGGTGAATGGAGTCCATCGTATGCCTCTTAATGTCCTGTCTACTGTGTTCTTTAGTATCCAATCAATCACAAGGTTAAAGAGGAGAGATGACATAACACATCCCTGTCTTACACCCGTCTTTACTGGGAAAGATGTATTGTAATTTTTTATACTGCAGGAAAAGTCTTTATAGAAGAGAGCAATTATGTTGACTATTTTTTCTGGAATTCCATGTCTTAAAATTTTCCACAGACCGTCTCTATCTGTCAAAAGCTTTCTCAAAGTCCACAAAATTAATATATATACTTCTCTGCCATTCGTTGCATTGTTCTAAAATGTTCCGTATGGCGAAGATGTGCTCAGTTGTTCCTCTGCCCTTTCTGAATCCTGCTTGTTCCACTCGTAGGCATTTATCTACTCCTTTTTCAAGCCGCATTATGATGATTTTACAAAATATTTTGCTTGGTACTGAGAGTAGAGTAATTCCCCTCCAATTATTGCAGTCTGTTAAGTCTCCTTTTTTGGGGATTTTGACTATTGTTCCTTTAGTCCAGTCATCGGGCAACACTTCTTTTTCCCAAATATCCTTGAACAATGGTTCTAGAATGCTAGCAGTTGTGTTGGGATCTGCTTTGAGAAGTTCTGCTGACAATTCGTCTTTGCCTGGTGCTTTGTTGTTCTTTAAAGTGTGGATAGCTTTAAGGATTTCTTGTTTGCTTGGTGGTTCAGAAATAATGTCAATGTCCTGAGAGGCTGGTTGAATATCTGGGGGATTTTCAGGATCAGGTCTGTTCAAGAGGTTAGAGAAGTGTTTAGTCCACTGCATGTTTTGTTTTTGTTCTGTGATGAGCAGTCTGCCTTGGTTATCTCTGATGGGTATGCTGTGATAGTTATTTCTGTTTCCGCAAATTTGCTGGGTAATTTTGTGTAGGGTTTGTAGATCATGTGCTTTAGCAGCATTTTCTGCTGTTTCTGCAAGATTTTCTGTAAATCTTCTCTTGTCAGCTCTGGCACTTTTCTTGGTCATTTTATTTAGTTCGCTATATTCTAACATTAGTTTGTCTTTCTGACGTTCTGATTTAGTGTGATTTATGAGGCTCTTTATTCTTTTTCGCTTGGCAATATAGTCCATGGTTTGACTACTTATCCATTCTTCCTGGTTTCTAATATTTTATTGCTAGTTGATTTGTATGTTTCTTTGATCTGGTTCCATCTGTCTTGAATGCTGATTGTAGTTGGAGTTTCTGGGTCACTTGATAGGGTTTGAAATCTATTCTTGAGTTCTACTATAAATTTAGTGGCAATGTCTTTTTCTCTTAAAAGGTTAACATTGTAACATGCTGTCTGTGTCTTAACTTGCGTGTAAACTTTTTTGAGTTTTAAGTCGTAGTAGAGCGACTACAAGGTGATGATCGCTTCCCACATCTGCTCCACTTTTGACAGGCACATCGAGTAGGGACCCACGCCATTTTCTGTTTACCATGAAATGGTCGATCTGTTTTACATCTCTTCTGTTTGGGGATATCCATGTAAGCTTGTGTATGTTCTTGTGAGGAAATAGTGTTCCTCCTATAACAAGTCTATTCGCCGTGCAGAAGTCGCTCAATCTTTTCCCCGTTGTCATTAATTGTACCACATCCTTGATTTCCCATTGATAGTTCTCTTTTCAAGTTGTTGTTACCAACTTTTGCATTGAGATCTCCCATAATGCATAGAATATCATGGGCTGGTACTTTATCTACTACCTCTTGCAGTCTCCTATAGAATGTTTCTTTATCTTCATCTTCAGCTTCATTAGTCGGTGCGTAGCATTGGATGACCGTAAGTTTGGCATGTTTGCCATTGAATCAGGCTGTCATTCTTTCATTGACTGGATGCCACTCGATGAGATGTTTGTGTATACCTTTCTTTAAAATAAGTGCCACGCCTGCAGAATGTAGGTTATCATCTCTTCCAGAGTATATTATGGTTTCTCCTGTACCTGTTGTGGATTTCCAAACCCTGTCCACCTGCTTTCACTAATTCCAAGAATATGCAGTTTATAGTTCTGCATTTCTTTAATTACTTGGGCGGTTTTGGCCGTTTCAAACATGGTTCTTACATTCCAGAAGCCAATTCTTAATTTGGTTTTGACATCCAGCAGACTTGTTTTCCCATCATGGGCTTCCTTTCGGCTTTCACCCATGTTGTTCATGCTGACAGAGGGACTTTGTCCCAAGACCACCGGACGTTTAGAGCACTTATTTCCTTTTGAAGTTTCAGTAACGTTGTAGATTTTTTACAGGGCAGAGCTGTCAACACTGCGCCCAAACCCCGAGCCTGGAGGACCGGGAGGCCATCTTTAGTCTGGTCCCTCACCAATGACCTGTCCGGCTTGGGTGACCCTACCAGGAACATAAGTTCCCGCCGGCATAGCTCATTAGATCATTGAGGCTCTCAAGCTCCCCCACCACTACAAGGTAATGGCCTCTGGGGGGAGCTATTTAATGAAGAGCTGCATTAATTTGCTATAGGTCATTTAAGTAATTATTGGAGAATTTTTAGATTATACTTCCTACCTTTAACATTTCTGACATTAAATAAAATATACATAATGCCTCTGCTCAAACAGGTGATAAAGTTGGCAATGTTGTCCATCTGTATGAAAGAGACTGCTCTGTTCAGCGTCGGCACCAGAAAGTTGTGGAAATAGCCCCGGCACCAAAATTAGCAGCTGATCTCCGAGACAAGATGAATACAGATGCTGTAAGATTAGCAAAACATGTTGGATATGAAAATGCTGGAACCACCGAGTTCCTGCTGGACAAAAATGGGCAGTATTATTTTATTGAGGTCAATGCCAGACTTCAAGTGGAACACACAGTTACAGAACAAGTAACGGGGTAAGTGGGATAGCAGATTAACTAATAGGTGTCTGTAGTTACATTGTAAGTGTGCCAGATTCATTTATTGGTCTCTGTAGTAACAGAGTGGGAGCCGCCCTGGTTGCTCACCTGCAGATTAAAAAGTCATGAATTCAATTCTTGATGGAGCTGAACTCAGTAATGACCTTGGCTGATGTTGAGCATATCATCCACCGGGGGCCGATGTGTCTATAAAACATAGGTCTAAGTCCTCTGTGCCCAGTATGCCAGAGGGCGGGGAAAAGGATCCTTTTCTTTAAACTTTTATACTAACAGAGTAAGTGTGATGGTGGATTAATTCATAGGTCTTTGTAGTCAGAGGATAAGTGTAATGGTGAATTAGTTTATGGGTCTCGGTAGTAAGAGTATAGATGTAATGGTGAATTAATTCATGTTTCTGTGTAGTAAGAGGGTATGTGTAATTGCTGGTTAATTCATGGGCCTCTGTAGTAAGTGGGTTGGTGTATTAATTCATTAGCCTTTATAGTGAAGTGGTTACACACCATTAACTTGTGCTCTGAAGCATATGGGTTCACTTTTGTACACAAAGTTAGGTAGGTAGGTAGTTGTACCCTAGCAGGACATCACACAAGCGATAAACACACGACAACACAAAGTGCCACCATGCGGATGAAGATCACCCGTGGAGAGGTCCCAGAAACCCCTTTCAACTGTCAGGCCATATCTTTGGCTAGGCCATATTTATGGCCCAGCTATATTCAGGGCCTCCGGCAAAAGTCAGGATTTGGGCTTTAAAATAGCAAAAATTGCGTCCCACAAGGGGACGACTTTGTACACAAAGTTTCACTTCAGAGTTAAAGCCAAAAGGATTGAGGTCATTGTACTGGGTTTTATCTGGTGTGGCTTGGTCTCTCTCTTTCATCCTTTATATATAAAATGCAGTTGCTGGGTTAAAGATGAATGTTTGGAAGGGCCGAATGTAAGATTGGCCTATGGGCCCAATATGTGGTCCTTTGAAAGCAAAGTTTGCTCATTTGTTTGTTCTGCAAAATGACATCACACTGATGATGTCCCTTTCAAGAAGAAATACATAGGCCTGCCTTGAACGACACACAAAGCACAAACTCTGTAATCACAGCTCCGAAGTTGGAGTATATCTGCCTGAGAGGCAAGGAACCAACAGTCTGTATACAAATAAGCCATCTATAAAATGGATATGCACACAAAACTCAATTTCTGGGACAAGACTAAAGTCCAGAAGTGGATGAACAACCAAAACTTTCTGCATGAGTTAACAGCCGATGAATGTGAAGAAGAAGCAGAAGAAAAAGAAGAAACAGGAAGTTAAGAGAAAACCACCACATTTTTTTTCTTCCTGGGAATAAGTCTAACAAACAGTTGCCAAGTACAGAATATAATAATGATATGTTTAAACATTTCATACTAGTCTTTTTTGACTGAATAACTTCTGCATTCATCCGAAGAAGTAAATATGTTGTGCCTGTTAACATCATGGCCTCAATATTTGCACCTTTGGACCGACTTGTCTGACTTTTGCAGGCATTTTTTGTCTGGGTTAGTCTTCCCAGGGATAATAAAAAAGTGATAATTGCATTTTTAGTTAATTTATTTAAAAAAGGAACTAATGGCTTGGCACTGCCTGAGACCTGACCTGTAAATGTGCATTGTTTTCCTACCAGTGTTGATTTGGTGCAATCTCAGATCAGAATTGCTGAAGGCTACACACTGCCAGAGCTGAATCTGAACCAGGAAAACATCAAACTGAATGGTTGTTCCATTCAGTGCCGTATGACCACTGAAGACCCTTCACGCAATTTCCAACCTGACACAGGAAGAATTGAGGTAACAGTTTTTGGGCATTGGTGTCATAGGATCATATGTTAAAGGGTTTGTTTATCTATGTTGTTATTTGAGGCCTGTTTATCATTTGTAACCCATAAGGAAAAGGAGTATTCCGCTTTTAGATAAAAAAAATTTTTTTTATTTTTTTTTTAATTTTTTTTTTAAATAATTATTTACAGTGCAGATCTGATTATGAGAACTAACTGGGGACCCAAGAAATGGTTCTTCTCATTACAAATTCCTGTTGACCAGATAAGAGTTCCAGCAAGAAAAATTACTGGGGATAAACAAATTCTTCTTCACAATAGAAATTTGTCAGCCGTGTGTGACCGGGGCCCTCACGGGAAGCAAAAAATAATGACACTGCACCCTACCAGGCATGTCGTAAAAGGCTACTAAGGGTAGGGTTGGGCTTGAGGTTGGCTACCTCATCCTGTAAAAACAATAGCCGCAAAAACCAACCAACCATGGATAAGTCAAAAAGAGAAGCAAGTAAAATCCAGCCAACCAAGATGAGGTGAGGCTGTTCAAATAGAAGAAGTCTGACACTGTGTGGAGAAAGCCGTAAGGAGTCCGGATCGTTGACGTACCTCCTCTCAGCTAGGAAAACCTCCAGAATTAGCACCTGGAATGTTAGAACTCTCTATGATATAGGGAGAACAATGGAAGTAGCAAAGGAAATGAAACATTATAGAATTAGTATTTTAGGGTTATGTGAAACTAGATGGACTGGGGTGGGGAAAAGTATTCTAAATTCAGGGGAAACTATTTTGTTCTCACTCAGGACACACAGAGAAAAATTTGCCCCACAGAGAAGGAGTGGCCCTGATGCTATGGAAAGAAGCAGACAGGGCACTAATAGAATGGGAACCTGTGAGTCCCAGAATAATAAGAGCATCTTTTAGAACAGTGAAACAGAAGGTGAATATGTCAGTAATACAGTGTTACGCACCAACAAATGATAAAGATGCACCTGTTAAGGAAGAATTTTACATGCAGCTTCAAAATATTATAAATTATAAAAGAAAGGGCAATTAAAAAATGTTGATGGGTGACCTGAATGCTAAGATAGGATCAGATAACACAAGTTATGAAGAAATTATGGGAAGACATGGTCTAGGAGTAATGAATGAAAATGGAGAATTGTTCACAAATTTTTGTGCAGGAAACTAGTATATCATTGGTGGAAGTATTTTTCCCATAAGAGAATACACAAGGCAACATGGGAATCACCAGACCATAAGACAACTAATCAAATTGACCACCTATGTATTAACATAGGGCTTGGTAGGGCTTTCGAGGTGCTGATGTATTTACTGACCATTTCCTGGTGATAAGTAAAATTAAGTTGAAACTAAAAAGATAAATAACATCTTATAATCTTAGAAACCAATATAATGTAGGCTTTCTCAGAGATAAAGAAATTAAGGAACAGTTTTCAGTTACGGTCTCTAATAAGTACCAGGTGTTGCAGCAGTTAGCTGAAGATGTCAGTACAGAAGTCTGCTGGAAGCAGATCAAAGGAATCTGGAATGAATCTTGCATAGAAGTTCTTAGCAAGAAAAATAGGAAACACCAGAAACCACTAAACTGATTGAAAATAGGAAAAATAAAAAGGCAGACTTAAACATTAGCAAAACTAGAGCTGCTAAAGCTAGAGCTCAGGAGAAATACACAGAAGCCAATAAGGAAGTTAGGAGGCATCTAAGGGCAGATAAAGTGAAATATCTAAATGATCTAACACAAGAAGCGGAGACAGCAGCAGCAAAAGGAAACCTCAGAGAACTTTACAGTAACACAAGACAATTAGTAGGCAAATATACTCAGCCAACTGGATCAATCAAAAATAGTCAAGGAAAGGTACTAACTAACACTAAAGATCAAATGGACAGATGGGTGGAATATTTTGAAATGCTTCTAAATAGACCAGGCCCCAGAGGTTCCCCCAGATATCCAGCCTTTAGAAATGGAACTGGATATCAACTGTGAGATACCATCCAAAAAGGAAATTAGAAAAGCTATCAATCTTCTCAAGGAAGGAAAGGCAGCAGGCCCAGTTGGTATCCCAGCTGAAGCCATCAAGGCCAACATAAACACATCAACAGAATTTGCTACATAGATTATTCAGTAAAGTCTGGGAGACTGAAGAAATACCAGCAGACTGGAGAGAAGGATATCTTGTGAAAATGCCCAAAAAAGGTGATCTACAGGAGTGTGAAAACTATAGAGGAATTATGTTGCTGTCAGTTCCTGGAAAAATATTAAGTAGAATTATTTTGGAAAGATTAAAAGATGCTATTGATAAAATGCTGAGAGATGAGCAGGCAGGTTTTCGGTCAAACAGATCCTGTACTGATCAGATAGCCACATTACGTATTATAATAGAGCAAAGCATTGAACTGAACTCACCACTTTACATTGGATTTATAGACTATGAAAAAGCATTTGGGAGACTGAAGAAATACCAGCAGACTGGAGAGAAGGATATCTTGTGAAAATGCCCAAAAAAGGTGATCTACAGGAGTGTGAAAACTATAGAGGACTTATGTTGCTGTCAGTTCCTGGAAAAATATTAAGAATTATTTTGGAAAGATTAAAAGATGCTATTGATAAAAAGCTAAGAGATGAGCAGGCAGGTTTTCGGTCAAACAGATCCTGTACTGACCAGATAACTGACCAGATAGCCACATTACGTATTATAATAGAGCAAAGCATTGAAGTGAACTCACCACTTTACATTGGATTTATAGACTATGACAAAGCAGTTGACAGCATTGATAGGGAATCTCTCTGGAAATTGATGGGGCACTATGGAATCCCACAGAAAATTAATAACTTAGTAAAGGCAACATATCAAGACATGAAATGTCGAGTTCTTCATGAGGGAAAGCTAACAGATGCATTTGAAATAAAAACAGGTGTGCGACAGGGATGTCTTTTTTCACCTCTCTTATTTTTACTGACTATAGACTGGACTATGAAAACAGTAACTGCTAACACCAAGAATGGAATTCAGTGGACCCCTACAAAACAGCTTGATGATCTGGACTTCGCTGATGATATTGCTCTTCTGTCCCATTCACGGAATCAGATGCAAGATAAAAGAAATATACTTGATTCGAGATCACAGCAGCTTGGTCTGAAAATCCAGAAAAGAAAGACAAAGATAATGAGAATAAATCAGGCAAATAGTAATGTGGTTTCTCTTAATGGCACCCTACTTCAAGACGTGGAGTCGTACACCTAATTGGGCAGTAATGTAGATAAAGATGGAGGAACTGATAGAGATATTAGAATAAGAATACAAAAGGCAAGAGGGGCTTTCATAGCACTAGGGAATTTGTGGAGGTCAAAAGAAATTAAAAGAAATACTAAAGTAAAATTTTTAAATTCTAATGTCAAATCAGTACTATTGTATGGGGCGGAAACATAGAGAACAACTAAGACAATTACTAATAAACTACAAACATTCATTAACTGGTGCCTGCGCAGAATAGAGGGAATTAAATAGTATGAAAGAATAACTAATGTAGAACTTTGGGAGAGAACTAAACAGGCTCCAGTAGACCAAGAGGTGAGGAAAAGACGCTGGCGTTGGATAGGACACACACTGAGAAAACAGGAGAACAGCATAACTAGAATGTCTTTGCATTGGAACCCACAGGGGCATAGGAATAAAGGAAGGCCAAAAAACACATGGAGAAAGCTGGAGAATGAAGTTAGAAAGATGGGAAGGACATGGGAAGAGCGAAGGATAGAACGACTTGGCATGAGTTGGTTGAGGACCTATGCTCCATTGGGGAATAGAAAGGCAGAAGAAGAAGAATAGAAATTTGTCACACCTGAGATCACTTTAAGTGTGGCTTGCATTGGGCTTTCTCTTTAAAATAACTTGATTGATTTCTGTTTGAAGACATTTTAATTTGATAGCCATGGTAGTCACCCAAACATATTGACTTGTTATTCTTAACGTGTAGAAAGTATTAAAAGCACTGCAGAAAGAATCGGCAGTGAGGCACTTAATGGGAGCTGTTTACTTCTTTTCTTCTTCAAAGGTGTTTCGTAGCGGAGAAGGCATGGGCATTCGTCTGGATGGTGCCTCTGCATTTGCTGGTGCAGTGATCTCCCCTTACTATGACTCGCTGCTAGTCAAAGTAATTGCTCATGCAAGAGACCACCCGTCTGCCTGTGCTAAAATGTTACGAGCTCTCAGAGAGTTTAGGATTCGAGGAGTTAAGGTAAAACCATGCAGTACATTTTATATCTTTTCATTTTCGTAATGTTAGCAGTTGATAATTGTAACAAAAATATCAGTGATTTTCTTTTATCCATTACTTTTATAATTTGTAGCTGATTTGTGAAACAGTGTGCATATGAAAAATTGTAAATATAATGATTCATAGTCGTGAAACAAATATAATATTGTTGGTATAATTTTGTAAAGTTAGTCAGTATTGTAGGTGAGTACGAGGATAAAGATGCAGTATGTTCACCAGCTATATATTCCGGTGAAAAGTTCTGGTGGTTCATTAATTTCTGGAACTTGAATGTTGTTTGCATTCCCATTTTACAGATTTGGCTTGTAGGAATGTAGACTGTTGGTTTGCCTTTCAGGCAGATGCACTCCAACTTCAAATTAAACACCTCTGATTAATCACCTCTTATGACATGCTTGGGGTGGGGGGGTGGGGGCAGTGAGTCTATTCTGTATTCCCCACAATGGGGCCCAGGACCCCACATACTGAGCTGAATAATGAAATCTGGTAACACAGTTTCACGGTTCTACATACTACTCTGTGGTTCACTATTAAACTATATCAGTTGACATCTACATAACGATCAGTTGACATCTACATAACAATCAGTTGACATCTACACAATAATCAGTTGACATCTACACAACAATCAGTTGACATCTACACAACAATCAGTTGACATCTACACAACAATCAGTTGACATCTACACAACAATCAGTTGACATCTACACAACAATCAGTTGACATCTACACAACAATCAGTTGACATCTACACAACAATCAGTTGACATCTACATAACAATCAGTTGACATCTACATAACGATCAGTTGACATCTACAAAACGATCAGTTGCAGTCATTTTCCAGAACTTTATTTCTCTTACCAAGATAAACAGTAAAGTACCCTGTTCCATTCCTTCAAGCATATTGAGCATATAGAGCTAGACCTATATTTCATAGATCAATCGGCACTCTGTGGGTCATGAGGTCAGCATCACTCAAGCCACCTGTACTTCCCAGGACTATACCTGGTATCCACTCAAGGCTTGGTCGACCTGGGAGCCAAGGTCATTTTTTGAAAAAAAGTCAGGCTTTATCAGGACCGAACCCATGACTTTCTGATCTGCAGACGAGTATCTAGTCGTTACACCAAGATGGTACAGTTACAAATATATTAGTTATTCTGTGGTGTTATTATTGTCTGTCATGATGTAAACTTTCAACGTTTATAAATTTTTTGTTTATTATGAAGTCACCATCTGTAGTATAAATGACTTTCTACAGACCAACATCCCATTCCTGCTAAATGTGCTGCAGAATGAAACGTTCTTAAATGGTTCAGTGGACACTTACTTCATAGATGAGAACCCCCAGCTGTTCCACTTTGCACCGAGCCAGAACCGAGCCCAGAAACTGTTGCACTACTTAGGTAGCATCATGGTCAATGGTCCATCAACTCCACTGGGAACTGAATTGAAGCCATCTGAAGTAATTCCTTCTGTCCCACCAGTTCCTGTCGGTGAGTGATAGTTTAACCAGTACTAAAACTTAGGCATTTATAGCATAACCAGGTTCATTGTTGTTCTCATTTAGAAGCAGTAAAAGGGGCTTGAGAACTGTTATATTCTCTTACATATTATTTTTGAATTGGTGCAAAAATATGTCTCTCCAGGTTACTGTTTCAGTGACTTTGCATTTTTATGAGGGATAATATATGACTGTGTTTGTTATTATTTCTCCACAGGATCAAGTCTTATCTATTTGTTTTGTTTTTTGTTACTGTATCATGCTCCAGCAAACAAATTTCTTATTTACTAACACTTATGATTTTCCAAATGACTAAAGTAATCTATCACACTTTATGCATACATACACACAGAAAAAGCATAGACCACACACATATAAACATATGTCTTTGCTGGATCAACTAAGCCTGTTTCACTGACTACCAGAGTATGGTAGTTTATGGGCATGCTGTGTATAAAGGCTCCTGTATTATGGAATCTAGTTGGTGGAGAAAACCTAGTGGTCTTTACAATTTGTGAAAAATCATATGCATGCTGGTTTTTGAGGGATTGTGGGATTGTCAGAGGCTTTTTTTTTCCCTTTTTTCAAATTATTCTTATTCAGGACTGTAGCCTCCCCGGCTTGAAGAGTCACTATTCGGTGGAGAATCCACAGTAATGAATCCCCAATAAACCCTTTCAACCATATAAAACTGATAGTCGGGCACTGTGCTGCTGTGAAGAACCTGCTATCCTGTTTGTGTGGGAAAGTATGTTTGTTTGTTTGTTTTAGTATCCAGAAGCCATGAGTTGTTAACCCTTAGGCTCGGTATTATGGATATCGCAACCTTTCGGCCTTGATTCCATTGTAAATACCGTAATCTGGGTGAAATGTGGCTTTTCTGCCTACCCCCGGGAGTGAACCCGGGCTACAAGGAGTTCGTCACCTGGTCACCGCACAATCTAGGTTTAGCCAACTACGCTGGAGAGCCGGGCCTGTGGGACAGTAAAAGTATAATGATAGTAAAAGCACCTTTATCCAGTATCCAGCCTGTGTTTTGTAACATTCTGTACTAACAGATATGTTTCAAATACTGGTTTTTGCATCTGAAAAAGATGGTAAGTGTGCAGCATGAAATACTGTGTTAGAAGTTAACTTGTAGCTATGCATGGATTTCTAATTTGTTTTTTGGTTTTAAATGTTGTGTTAATGAATTGTATAATCATTTAGTTGAATGCAGATCCTTTTTGTGAATATGTTAACTGTGTGTCACTGGCATGCTTCCTTTTGTAAAATGGTAGGTATGGTTGTTTTGTTTTTCTAAGTTATTATTTTGTGAATTTCCTTCAGTCTTTTATCCCCCAGGGGAGCATAGGCTGTCAACCAATTCTTCTTCGTATCCTTCTCCTGCAGTTATTTCTTACCCTCTTCATTTTGTCCACCTGTCTCCAATTCTCTTTGTTTTGGGTTTTTGATCTCCTGGGAAATCTTTGTTGATGTCGTTTCCAGGGAAAAGATGTTAACAGATTTTCTTCTTCTTCTTCTTCTTCTTCTTCGTGTTCACCAGCTGTTCACTCTGGCGGAAAGTTCTGGTTGTTCATCTAGTTCTGAACTGCAGCCCTGCTCCAGAACCTGAGTTCTGAGTGTGTGCATCAGTTTTACAGATCTAATTCACTTGAATGCAGACTTTTGGTTCCTTGCCTCTCAGGCAGATGCACTCCAGCTTCAAAGGAAGCTCCCCAATTAGTCGACTCTTACGACATGCTTTTGGGTAAGCAGTGGGTCTCTTCTTGTTTTCCCCACAATGGGGCCCCGGAACCCACACGGGGAGTTTTCTTATTGTGTCCTGCCCAACAACGACATCTTTTCTGCACTTCTTGTTTTACTGCAATTTATTTACTTCTCTCTCGACCCTGTACTTAGTTATTTTGTCCCATCATTTAATTTCTTAAATGCTATGCCAGTAGTTTATTAGTGCTTGTTTTAATTGTTCTCAATATTAGTGCTTCATTCAGCAGTGCAGTAAATCTCTTAATTAGAAGGCATTCACTCTTGGAGCTGTGTGTGATTTTCCTAATCTGGTTTTTGTAACATTTCTGTCCTATGTTTTGTGTTTTATTTGTTACCTATGGTTTATCAGTTTGTTTGTTTGTGATGTTTTTGTTGAACATTTTTATTAGTAGCTTGGTAAATTAATTGTTTTATTAATTTCATGGACAAAGAAGGGAAGAAATAGTGACATTCCAAAAGATCTAAACATCAAGGCTAATAAACAACATCTTGTCTTTGAAGCTGAAATATTTTGCTCATATCAAGCGCCATGGTGGATTGGAAAAAAATAAAAGCAGAAGGCATGGTACCAAGAAGGAGGGGCAGGGACCTACCAACAAGAAGATGGGCACAGGATATAAATGACTCCTTGAATATAAGAGTGCACGATTTAGGAGAGCTGAGGAGAGACCGAGTTTTTTCAGGCAGACTGTGATGAGAGCGACATTCAGCAAAGGACCTGCTGCATGATGATGATAGATGTCTTCTAATTTTTTTGTTTATACCAGCACTATGTATCATTCTCACCCACTGCTAAGTTTCAGTATATTTGTATTTGACCATGTTCATTGCTTCTATATCATAAAGTTTTCTTTAGCCATTTCCCCCCATTACTTTCCAGGAGTGATTTGGGGGGATACTGTAGTAGATTGTAGTACATTGTCGATCATCTAGTTGGAAACTGGTTATTTGAAGGAAAAAAAAAGTTAATTTAGTATCCTTTAGAGGACATTGCACGCCAACCCCAGCATTTGTTGGTTGTTTATGGTTTTAGATGTATATTTTATGGTCCACTAGGTTAACATTGCTTTGTGAAAGGTTGGCTGTCACAATCATAACAGGACCTAAGATGCCAACAGATCGAATTTAGTAACCACATTAATATGTAATTGTATTGAACTCATGATTGGGAAACTATGAAAATATAACTGAGCTACCGTATAACAGTAGTCACTACTACCTGTTTTCTGTTAACACTGAATGTAGCAATGTATACCAAACCTAACATTGCACATTGTGTCAGCAGCTTCAGGTGGACGAGTGCATTGGAAGTGGAAGGGGGGGGGGGGGGGGGGTACTAACTTGATTCCAGGAAGAGGAAATGCAACCAGAAAACTAAATGTTACTGTAGGGCAGACCAGGCTCTTAGCCTTGGCAGGTAGCTGGTCTAGAAGGAAAGTTTCAGCAGGCGAACAAACAGAGCTCTTCTCTTCTGATCCGGCAGCTTCTGCAGCATACTTTTTCTAAATGTATTGGTGTTACCTTTAATGTGGAGTCAATAAGGCAGGCCGAGGGAGGTCTCATGATGCATGGGCAACACCTGGTCTCTACAGTATTGCCCAGGCTTTCTGCTGTAATGAGGAAGAACTTCATCCGTGGCCTTAATTAGCCTATATAATTTGTGGGCAAGTCTTGCTAGTCACACTCGCAATCAACACTGGCTGAGATTCTCATGCATTCCCTTAGCACAGTATATCACTATGGCCTATAAAGATATTGTAACAACAGAGTTGAGATGTCTTAGGAGAGCTGCCGGTGTGACAATAAAAGATAAAATCAAGAATGAAGAAATTAGAAGACTAGGGCTAAAACAAATAATACAGTGCATTAAAGAACAACAAATGAGATAGTTTGGCCACCTGACCAGAATGTCCTGGTAGCAACTGCCATAGAGAATTACACTGAAGAAATATAATGAACACAGAGAATGAGGAAGACCAGGCAAGAGATGGAGCGTCATCAGTAGCAACCATTGGAAAAAGCTCACAAGCAATCCTTACATCTCCCCCAACACCTCGGTGAGGTAAATGGTGGAAGAGAAAAAGATCTTTAAAGATAGAAAGGTGCCAACAGTTTATGAAACTGAATGGTACATGAATAAATAAATAAAGTTTATTTTTGAAGGGTTTCAGAATTCACACAGAGGAATCTATAATTCGATCATACTTACCTGTTTTTTCTTACCTTATTTTATTCCTACATCTGTTATTTTAATCTTAAATAACCGTAACAATATGTGTACAGTAAACACGTGGAAAATGATCAAAAATCATCACTACACTCTTAGAAAAATGCTAATAATTATCTAATTTTTATAAAGCCTAGAAAAATATACTGTAGAACAAGTTAGAGAATTGCTTGGTGTAGTATAATTTTTTTGGGAGTTATAATTTTTAAATTTAAAAAAAAAAAATTTTTTTTTTAAGCTATCCATTTTCCACTTCACAAGTCTACGTAGAATTATCAAAATTGTCTGGCCAAATACAATCTTAAACACTTCTAGTCACAAACCAAGAAACTATAGACAGAATGATAACCGAAAGATGATGGAAATGGCTTGGCCACGTTATGAAAATGAATCCAGTATACCTACCAAAACAGCTCTCACATAGAAACCTGAGGGGAAAAAAAAAGGGCGCCCAAAAATAGCAGAGACAAACTATGGAAAGTGACCTGAGTGTGGCACCTCTGACATGGAAAACTGCACTGAAGATTGCACAGGACAGGAAAGTATGGAAAGTCCTTTCTGAAGCCTCATGTGCCACTAGGCATAACGAGAACTGATGATGATGCTGATTTAAGGGGATATGTAGACTGTACTGAGATGGGGGAAATATGGTCCTTTGATTGCATTTAATTTTCTACAGAAATCTCCATAATCCATCACTATAAGAGTTATTTATGTTGATGTCATTGTCAGACAGCAAGTCTTTTACAGAACGTCGCTGTCTGCACAGCCTGCCTGAAAGTATCCCTTTCCCTAGTCATCTCTCCAGCCTCATGTTCTTTCATTGCTAATGCATTGTCAGTGTCCTGTATCCCTCTTTGCAGAGGTCGACCCCTGCCTCGCTTCCCATAAACTGCACCTTCCATCACCCTTTTCCAAGCCACCTTGGTGACATCAAGTTATATCAATTGTCATTTTGTTATTAAAATTATCAAGCTGTTGTAAACTGCCAGCTT